AAAAACCCGGGGGGGGAGGGGAAGGGAGGAGAAAAAGAAGAAAGAAAAAGGGAAAGGGGGAAAAGGAACAATCATAAAACCCATGCATAGTGGGATCCATTAGTTGCGAGAGGGGGGACAGCATCCAAGTCTAATCATAGTTCAGTGAAGAGAGTGGAACAACCAAAAAAGACTTGTCAAGTGACCAGTGTTTGAGAGGGAGAACGACCATCCAAGACCATGTCATAGTGATTCAATGCTTGAAAGAAGGAGCGACCATCCAAGATCATGTCAAGTGATTCAGTAGTGTGAGAGAAAGGAGGGGCCTCAAGACTGGTCACAGTATCCAGTAGTTGCGAGAGGGAGGGAAACAGTCCAAGACTATTTTCTAATGGCTAGATTTGTGAAAGGGGAGAACCACCCAAAGACTATGTCTAGTGATCCTTTCTTGGAGAGGAAGAGCGACCCTCCAAGACCATGTCATAGTTATTCATAGTTGTGAGAGAGAGGGGGCGACCATTCCAAGACCATGTCATAGTGATCAAGTATTTTGTGAAAGGGAGGAGCAACCAACCAAGACTGTCATAGTGATCCAGTCGTTGTGAGAGGGTGGAGTGATTATCCAAGACCATGTCATAGTGATCCAGTAGTTTTGAGAGGGGGGAGCAACCACCCCAAAGACTATGTCATAGTGATCCAGTAGTTGTGAGAGGGAGGAGGACCATCCAAGACTGTGTCACAGTGGTCCCAGTAGAAAATGAGAGGAGGAGCAACTATCCAGACTATGTCATAGTGTTTCCAGTAGTTGTGAGAGGGAGGAGCAACCATCCAAGACCATGTCATAGTGACCCAGTAGTTGTGAGAAGGAGGAGTGAACATCCAAGACTATGTCATAGTGATTTAGTAGATTGAAAGGGAGGAGCAGCAATCCAAAACTATGTCATAGTGATCCAGTAGTTGTGAGAAGAGGAGCGACAGTCCAAGACTGTGTCATAATAGTCCAGTAGTTGTGAGAGGGAAGAGCAAACATCCAAGGCTTTGTCGTAGTGGTCCAGTAGTTGTGAGAGGGAGGAGTGATCATCCAAGACCATGTCATAGCAATCCAGTAGATGTGAGAGGAAGAAGCGACCATCCAAGACTATGTCATAGTGATCCAGTAGCTGCGAGAGAAGAGGAGCTACCATCAAAGACTATGTCATAGTGGTCCAGTAGTATGCTGCCTGTATGTATGGTCCCTGTATGTATCCTGCCTGTATGTATGTTGCCTGTATGTGTGTTGTCTGTATGTATGCTGCCTTTATGTATACTGCCTGCATGTATGATGCCTGTATGTGTGATGCCTGTATGTGTGTTGCCTGTATGTATGATGCCTATTTGTATTATGCCTGTATGTATGATGCCTATTTGTATTATGCCTGTATGTATGATGCCTGTATGGTATGATGCTCTATGTGTGAAACCTGTTTGTATGTTGTCTGTCCTGTATGATGCCTGGGGTACATGATGCCTGTTTGTATAATGTTTGAAATGTGTGATGCCTGTTTGTATAATGCCTGTATGTGTGATGCCTGTTTTGGTTGATCCCTGTATGTGTGATGCCTGTATGTGTGATGCCTCTGTGATGCCTCTTTTGTATGATGAATGTGTATATGATGCCTGTATTTATGATGAATGTATGTGTGATGCCTGTATGTGTGAGGCCTGTATGGTGATGCCTGTATGTGTGATGCCTCTTTTGTGATGCCTCTATGTATGATGAATGTGTATATGATGCCTGTATTTATGATGAATGTATGTGTGATGCCTGTATAAAATGATCATGTGTGTATGATGCCTGTATGTGTGATGCCTGTATGTGTGATGCCTCATGTATGATGCCTCTATGTATGATGCCTGTATTTTGTGATGCCTGTATGTGTGATGCCTGTATGTGTGATGCCTGTATGTGTGATCCCTGTATTACGATGCCTGTATGTGTGATGCCTGTATGAAATACCTGTATGTGTGATGCCTGTATATGTGATGCCTGTTTATATGATCCTATGTGTAGATGCCTGAAATGTATGATGCCTGTATATATAAATGCCTGTATGTTGATTGCCTGTATGTGTGATGCCTGTGTATGTGAATGCATGCATATGTGATACCAGCATGTCTGATGCCTGCATATAATGATACCTGCAAGTGTGATGCCTGCATATATGATACCTGCATGTGTGATGCCTGCATATATGATACCTGCATGTGTGATGCCTGCATATATGATACCTGCAAGTGTGATGCCTGCATATATGATACCTGCATGTGTGATGCCTGCATATATGATACCTGCATGTGTGATGCCTGCATATGTGATGCCTGCATGTTTTATGCCTGCATATGTAATGCCTGCATATGTGATGCCTGTATATGTGATACCTGCCTGGAATTTACCTGGAGAGAGCTCCAGGCTGTTACTGCTGGCTGCACGCAAACCAACGTACGAGCCACAGCCCGGCTGGTCAGGAACCGACTTTAGGTGCTTGTCCAGTGCCAGCTTGAAGACTGCCAGGGGTCTGTTGGTAATCCCCCTTATGTATGCTGGGAGGCAGTTGAACAGTCTCGGGCCCCTGACACTTATTGTATGGTCTCTTAACGTGCTAGTGACACCCCTGCTTTTCAATGGGGGGATGTTGCATCGTCTGCCAAGTCTTTTGCTTTCGTAGTGAGTGATTTTCGTGTGCAAGTTCGGTACTAGTCCCTCTAGGATTTTCCAGGTGTATATAATCATGTATCTCTCCCTCCTGCATTCCAGGAAATACAGGTTTAGGAACCTCAAGCGCTCCCAGTAATTGAGGTGTTTTATCTCTGTTATGCGCGCCGTGAAGGTTCTCTGTACATTTTCTAGGTCAGCAATTTCACCTGCCTTGAAAGGTGCTGTTAGTGTGCAGCAATATTCCAGCCTAGATAGAACAAGTGACTTGAAGAGTGTCATCATGGGCTTGGCCTCCCAAGTTTTGAAGGTTCTCATTTTCCATCCTGTCATTTTTCTAGCAGATGCGATTGATACAATGTTATGGTCCTTGAAGGCGAGATCCTCCGACATGATCGCTCCCAGGTCTTTGACGTTGGTGTTTCGCTCTATTTTGTGGCCAGAATTTGTTTTGTACTCTGATGAAGATTTAATTTCCTCGTGTTTACCATATCTGAGTAATTGAAATTTCTCATCGTTGAACTTCATATTGTTTTCTGCAGCCCACTGAAAGATTTGGTTGATGTCCGCCTGGAGCCTTGCAGTGTCTGCAATGGAAGACACTGTCATGCAGATTCGGGTGTCAACTGCAAAGGAAGACACGGTGCTGTGGCTGACAACCTTGTCATGTGTGATGCCTGCATATGTGATACCTGCATGTGTGATGCCTGCATATGTGATCCCTATATATGTAATACCTGCATGTGTGATGCCTGCATATGTGATGCCTGCATGTGTGATGCCTGCATATGTGATACCTGCATGTGTGATGCCTGGATATGTGATACCTGCATGTGTGATGCCTGCATATGTGATGCCGCATTGTGTGATGCCTGCATATGTGATACCCTGCATGGTGATGCCTGCATATGTGATAACCTGCATGTGTGATGCCTGCATGTGAATACCTTCATGTTTTGATGCCGCATGTGTGATGCCTGCATATGTGATAACCTGCATGTGTGATGCCTGCATGTGATACCTGCATGTGTGATGCCTGCATGTGTGATGCCTGCATATGTGATACCTGCATGTGTGATGCCTGCATGTGTGATGCCTGCATGTGTGATGCCTGCATGGTGTGATGCCTGCATGTTTATACCTGCATGTGTGATGCCTGCATGTGTGATGCCGCAAGTGTGAATGCCTGCATGGTGATGCCTGCATAGTGATACCCCGCATGGTGATGCCTGCATATGTGATACCTGCATGTGTGATGCCTGCATGTGATACCTTGCATGTGTGATGCCTGCATATGTGATACCTGCATGTGTGAAGCCTGCATGTGTGATGCCTGCATGTGGATGCCTGCATGTGTGAGCCTGCATTGAACCCGCTGTGGATGCCGCATGGTGATGCCTGCATGGTGATGCCTCATGGTGTGCCGCATGGAACCTGCATGTTTGAGCCCGCATTTTTGATGCCTGCATGTGATGCCTGAGTGATCCGCATGTTGATGCCCTGCAAATGTATACCTGCATGGTGATCCTGCATGTGAACCTGCAGTGTGAGCCTGCATGTTTGATCCTGCATGGGGAAACCTGCATAAGTGATGCCTGATATGGATACCTGCAAGAGTGAAAAAATTTTTTCCCTTTTTTTTTAATAAATCACACTTTGCAGTGTTTTTTCGTATGGAATTTTATTGTTGTATTCTAGTTTTTTTGGTTTCTCTTTTTATAGAATGGAAGACATTTTACTGAAATTGGGGATGATTTTGACTTTTTTAAACAAGAAAGGGTTGTTTAAAAATTTAAAGCTCAAAGTAGCAGAAATTTTTCGATTTTTCCCCAAATTTAAAAAGTAAAAAAATCGTCCCAAGCGGGGCAATACACGCCCAACCTGGTGAGTCTATATTTTTTTCCAAGGGTGAAACCAATAATTTTTAAATACCTTTTTTTTACAAAAATGCATTTGTCTGCATAACAGTAAAATCTTATTTTTTTTTGTGAGAATAAAATTCAAATGGAAAAGCAAAAGAATATAAGAAGGGCCTTGAGACGTGACTAATGATGGGGAAATTTGTCTTTTTTAGTCCCAAAATTGTTTTTTCTTTTTTATTTGGACCCTATTCCAAAATTGGAATCTTTTGAAATTTGTGTAAAATTGGAAAAATTTTTCTAAATTCTGACCACTGCCCTGGATGGGAATTTTTTATAAATGGGGGGTTTTCTTGCACCCATTCGATAAAAAAAAATGGAGTTCAAAGCGAAATTTAAATTTTTTTTTGTCGACTAGTAAGGGGAAAATTGGGCCCGAAAATGGGGCTAAAATTTGGGCAAACGCCGACCCGAAAACATCGCTAAACCCGCTAACTTTGCGAGAGCATAATTCCGTAAGTTTTCTATAAAAATTTAAAAATTTTGGTGTCGTTATGACGGGAAAAAAAACTCTACCCTTTTATAAGAGAAAATTTTTTTTTTTTTTTTTAAATTTGGCCAAACCCTGAGAACGAGTTTCGGAGGGGGGGCCTGTCGACCCCAAAGGGTTTAAACGTTTTGGGGCGATGTCCTGTTTCAGAGCGACAAGGGAGTCAAACCCGCGTTTAAAATTCGAATTTTTTAAATTTGGTGTTTTGGGTTAGGAAAAAAAAAATTCCCGGGGCCAAGGAACGGTTTTTTAAGGAGGATTGGGCTTTGAGAGGATGAAGGGAAAATAGAATGATAAGGAGGGGTATATAAAAACTGGGGGGGAAAGAAATGGTAAAAACCCTCATGGATGGGGTGGGGGGATGGGAAAATTTTTATGGAATCATTAACTGCCTCGGCTTTTAAAAACCATTTGCAAGACAAAAAACCCGATTAATGAATTTCAGTAAAATTTTTTCAAAGGGGGGTTCCTACCCTTTCTAATTTTTTAATTTTTTTTCAAAAAAGGTAAAATTTGGGGATTTAGTTTATGGGTTTAAGGCCCAAAAAAATAATATGAAATAGAAATTTAAAAGACTTTGATTTGAGTTCTACATCAATTTTTGTTGATGAAAGATAGGAGAGGAATTTTTTTTCCCGGGTATAGGCGGGGTTACAGATAGGGAAAGAAAAGTTTTTCTTAAAAGTTTGGGGATATAAAGTGGGGGCTGTCACAATTTGGGGTCCCCCCAAAAGTCAAACGTTGGGGCCCCTTTTTTGTTTTACAATGTTCACTGCACATAAGATGAGGGAATAAAAGCGCATTAAAATTTTGGGCGAGGGAAAACTAGAACATACAGAAAGATCTGAACAGACTGATGCAGTGGGCAAAAAGTGGCAGATGCAGTATAATATTGGGGAAATGCAAAATTGTAAGAGTTGGGAAAAAAAAAAATTAAACCCGGAAATTTTGAACTAAAAAATTTAGATCATAATCCCTCTGAATGGGAAAATTTTTTAGGTGTTTGATTTTCATTAAACTAAAACTGCTTTTTTCACCTTGGAGACATTGCAGTTGCTCAATGCATTCCAGTATGAATGAACTAAAGACTGAAAACGTCAACCGTTTTGCAGAATTCTCCATGAAGTGTCGTAAAACAGATACAAGAAAAGTATGGTATTAACAACTGTACCTGTCCCCTTACAGCGACTTGTCCCACAACCACAGCCAGTTGGGAAGTGCCAGACTGATCATCCCTAACTGACACACCTGGTACCAATACCACCTACCTCAAAGAAGAAGAATTCCCAGAAAAAGTGTGCTGTGTGTGCTTACCAACACAAAACGACCCCAACATGGAAGGACACGTTATTACATGTATCCACCAGTGTGGGGTGGCACTCTGTATGAATCCAGGCTTCATGAGTAATCATACAATCGTGGAATTTTAGAAACATAAGTGGACATGTAAATACAGTGAACCACTCGTATGAATTTAATCCGTTTCGTGACTTGTTCCTATCGCCGATTTGTTCGTGTGCTGAGGTCAATTTCCTCATTTAAATTAAATTGAAATGACATTAAATCCGTTCCAGTGGAATTCCTCTCTTGAGGAGGCACAAAAAATACTTCAATATGAGCCTACTGTCAACTCTATGCTTTATTTATATATCACAATTCATCTAATTTCACCATCACCAAGGAATGCACAACAGGTGCTTTCATGTCAGTGTTGAGCATTTCTTCATGTCCAGCTTCCTGTAACTCCATTAGCACACAGTCAAGATGAGTAACAGAATTTTCCACTGGCTTATTGCTTGGTAAACTTATTCTGTTAGTGGGTTGGTATCTGTGAAGGTACCTGCCTAGTATAGGGCCACCAGGCCTAATGCCAGTGTTCCTCCTCTCTAATGTATTATGTACCAAAGACACCAATCATACCCTCCCCTCCCACTCAATATATTTGTCCAATCTCTCTTAATGCATACCCAAGGTTCTATCGAAGCTAAAACCTTGGGTAGTTTCAAATTTAGGTTGATAAATACACGAGTGAGAGGTGTTGGATTGAGTGGGACCTGCAAATGAGTAATAGAATTATTGAGCTTATTGCTTGTGTAGCATTGAAAATTGAAGTTGGGCAAATATTCTTTAGTGGGGTATGGATTGTGAAGGACCCTGCCTACTAATGGGCCAACAGGCCTGCTGCAGTTTGTATTATTATTATTAGTACAGTACGTGTGTATATAATAATAATTTTATTGTTATTAATAATGTTAATTTAGGGAAGGGGAGCATAGATTCCAATCCCTTGATCAAAAGCCCCTCACCAAGGAACCTCTCCTTTGAGGGGGAAGTTTGCATTCTGAAAATTTCGTTTGTATCTAGAAGCAAAAAATCATCATGACTGTTCGTATCCTGAAAAATTACACAAAGTGGAGCATCTTAAGCGAGGTTCCATGTACTTGACATGTAATATAGTTGAAGATAATAGAATGGTTACTCAGCCAGGTGGCAAAATTACCTACAGTGTGGTAAATGTGCATTTATGACAGTATGATAATAATTTCATATATAAATATTGTGTATAAACAAAATTGGCTTGAAATCACAGGATTTATTATAAAACAATTACAATATCAAAAAAACCAAGAAAATTAAAAAAAAAAATGGGGAAAAAGTGGTAAATATGTAGAATTTCTGCAAGCGGAGCTCTCCACAATTGCCGTCAGGTGATCGCCAAGTGCCAACTTGCACGGCCTCATATCTCGGTAAAACCTGACCCTAAATTTTTTGTTATCCTATAACACTAAAAATGTGCACTTTTTTCTGTAATTTTATTTTTTTTTTTTTGTTTTTATTTTAATCGGGGCGCTGGGCGAGAGAACGTTATATACGTTTGGACCGTTCAGGGGTTAAGAGGGTCCCATGTCAGTGAAAATTGCTCTTGATCAAGGAGTTAGTTTATCCTCCCTTTAATAGACAGTTAATTCCAGTTCCCTCCTGTTTTATTTGACCCCTATGGGATATAAATGCATCCCCCCCCCCTCTTAAAAGATAAACAATGCTTTGAGATCCCCCCTCTCGAGGGAAGTGTATTTGATGGCTGATGGAGGCTCTTTGATTCAAGGAGCTGGACTCATTTCTCCCTCTTCCTTGGATCAAACCTTCCATGTCCCCATATGCCAAATGACCCCTAGATTTTTGGTGCGTCCCATCTGATTACAGCAAGGCTAACCTTCACTCCATTGCCCAAATCATGAGAACAGAAGAATCAGTATGCCTGTACAAACCTTGCTGTTTAATACTTTCTCATTAATGTAATACAGTGGACCCCGAGTTTCGTGATTATTCTGCTTCCAGAGAGCCACGCCGAAGGTAGAAATTTTTTTCATGAAAACTTGAAACCATTATCCCCATAAGAAAATAATGGAAAATAAAATTAATCCGTTCCAGACACCCATAAATGTTAAAATAATTTTTTTTTTCAAAGTAAATAAAGATTTACATAATGCAAACAAGTCAAAATCAAGTATATATATGCATTTAAAAAAAATAAATAACAGTTACACTACCTTACTGAAGACTTCTGCGTGGATGGAAGACGGGAGGAGGGATAGGAGGAAGGGTGTACACTATTGTTTTGGAAGGAGAATCTCCTTCCTATTAGGACTTTAGTTAGCAAGTCCTTTATCTCGGTTACTCCCTCTTCTTTTAATACCACTGGAATAACGTTGAGAGTCAACGAACCCCTGTCGCACAAAATATCTGTCCAGAAGAGGTCTTTTTTCTGGCATTTTTCTTTGAGATATTCCCTGAAGTGGGACACAACCACCTGGTCATTGTACAATGTTGCAGATATGGCTTTTGTTTCAGCTTGTCAGGGTGAACTTTTCAACAAAACTTTGCAACTCATCCACATCCACACATGTCCTTAATCACTGAAAGAAGGCACCTCATCCACACCCCTTTCTCACCTCTGAAGCAAGTCCCTCGGCTGGTTCTGAAGCTGTCCAGTTGAAGCTCTTGCAGTTCGTCAGTGATAGCTCACCTTGGTCCTCCACAACTCTCCACTCCCCGTCACTCACCTTTTACTTACCAAGCTTGCACTAGCTTTCCTTGGGTCCATGATAACAATTTAGCACTTGCAAGCACAAAAAAATGGATTATTGTGAAATATA